CGGGGGCGGACCGGGCGGGAGAGCGAGTGCTGGGGTCTGACCGGGTACCTGTGGCCCTGGTTCCCCAGCCGGTGGGTTAGGGAGCTGTCTTATGTGTATGTGGGTAAGGGAAGGTGGTAATTTTGAATAAACGGAATGTCTGTCAGTCTCCAGGCGTGAAAGTAACCCCAATTGCCCCTTGGAGCTCCTCTTCTGCTTTTGTAAACTTGTAACGAACATAAACCGGTGTCAGTCTTCCATGCATATAGAAACTGTTTTGATTTAAAATACTCTTTGGAAGAAAAGAGACAGAAGCTGTGTTGATGAGTAAAGATTTCTTTGGAGAATTTTTAGTCAAGAGGAAACTGTTGGATGTTTTATTAAAAAACATCCTTCATGCCTGGGGTATTTCTGTAACACTAAATTGTCCAGGGTATTTTTAACTGATCTCATTTAATTTCTCTGCAGATTAATGGTCTTGTATATTTTCCCTTTGGTTTCTTGCTGTTCTATGTGAAGCTATTTGTGTTTATAAAATTTGACACAACTTGATTGTTTAGTAGAGTTTGTGCATATTCATCTGTGTTCTGGTTTTCTTTCTGTGCAGCTGGATTGAAAATCATCTGGAGGAGAAACGCGTCTGTTGCGTGTGAAGCTGTTCACTTCAGAATTAAATGAGTTATCTGCCTTGAAAGAACTTATTTCTATATATTTATAATTTCATTTAGACTGCTAAATACAGACCATGCCTAGCAGAATGGGCTCGAAAATTGATTTGAACAAAGACTTCATCAGAGTAAAAACACACTATAGCGGGTAAGTCAGCATGTTCTCTCCTCTGTATTGTGCCCTGTCTCGTTTTGAAGCATATTGAGCAGGAGTTCATAGTCTGAGCTAGTGATAGAGTAACCAGGGCGTTGGTGGATTTGTAGTTAATGTCAGGTCAGGTAGGTAAACTTCTGGCCTATTAAAAATACCATCCAGACTCCTGCAGCGTGCTGGTTGTGGAAGAGAGTTGATAGTTGATTGTGGAAAATGTGCAAATTGGCAAACAGTTATTCTGGGTTGATGGGTCATTGATTACTGTTTTGTTACAGGTGTTTGTGGTCACAGATGGGTATAGATCCATCTCTTGCATCCAGATGCAGTTATTACATTTATCATATATCCTTCATAGTAGAGACATGATACATCTTATGTAATGAACCTACAAGTTGGTGCTGGAATTAGCAGGAGACTATGAAGTGCAAGTTTCCCCTTAGAGATGTCTGTTTGTGCCTGTGTGCTCCTTGGGACAAACCATGTAATGTTTAACATGAGTCCTTTTCTTGTGGGGACTTTCAGATACTATTTCAAATTGCTGCACTTTGCTTCCTGCTGTGAATAAGTACTAAAAGTAAACTCTTGTGCAGTTTGCCCTTTAATTTTTGATAGCTGATTCCTCTGTTCCCCTCCCAGTAATTTGACTAATGCAGCTTGAAGAGCAAGGAGATGTTAACGCAGCTGCTTTGGTTATCTTCACAGTGCTTATTTTTGTAGCTCTGATTTAAGACAATAAGAAAAAAATAGTCATGGTCCTTTATGACTTGTCCATCGTCAGTAAGAGCTGACTATTTTTGGCATTATGGACTGTATAACTGATTATCTCAGTATCTCCATTGAAGTACTGCACTCATCTTTTGAACAAATCTGACAAACTGTGGGAAATTGATGCTGGACAACTTCAGAATTTAAGGACAAGCTCATTCAGGTAGCTGCTAAAAAATTAAGATAATAGTACAGTATATAATTTTGAAATCCCAGTTGAAAATCTAAGCATGAGGAAGTCTAAAACATGCGAATGTTGTGTCTATCTCTCTGGAGTCCTAGTATCTCAGGTATTCATGTTTCTGGGTGTGACAGAGTTCCTAACATAGCATACTATAAACGGCTGGATAAGTAGATTGCAAAAGAAAGTCAACTTGTGTAATTCTCATTGCATTATTTCAGTTACTTAGTTCATGTGGTTTATACCTGGTTAGTTAAAATCACTGCGTTTAAGTAGAGCAGAGATGCGGTGTTGTTCGCTGTTTCTATGCGGTGACACAATCTATTGGTGTGAACGATTCTCTTGCTAGAACTGCTGATACATGAGCAAACGACTAGTAAGTTATGTTACTCTGTAGTGTCTTGTTTCAGATACCTGATAAAAGTGTCCGGTGGGATTCTCTAGTGTTAAATAATGAATTATTTGATTAAACACAATAAATCTCGAAGAAATATGGACATCACTGAGATGATAATAATTGAATAAATATCATTAATGTTTGCACCTGCAATAGGTGCTGTTGAGCATACTTCAGCTGTGTTCTGTGCAATGTCAAGCTTATTAATTTAGCTGTAGAATGACAGTGCCATCTGTTATAATAGTTTTAACAATTTAAGGCTGATGAGTGTTTGTCAGCTTTAGTTGGAGTTTGTAGTGTGCATAGTGGAGTGTTCTCTTACTGCGTAGCTTCAGGCTTTGAATATTTGAATTTGAGTAAGATTTTATCTGAATTTTCTTGTAGTGCTGTCCTTTGAGAATTCACCTCATCAGAGCTTTCTCTCTGTCAATGTAACACATATGAGGAGAAACCTGCATTTTAAAAAGATTTTGTGATAATTGAGATTTACTTACCTCCTGATGGAAGAAGAACCTGGATAAAATTTAATTCCTAGAAAATCTTGTTTTTTACAGCAATTCAAATGCCAGTAGTTATAGTAAGGGAACTTGTCTCACCCAGGTAAACATGCCTTAGAGATAGATCATTAACACAGTTAATTCCTCCATACTAAAGGATTTTTTAAAGTTAAACACTGAGATGTAATCCCATTGACTTCTGGCAACACATTTACACTAGTGGGAGTGTTTTCTATGAGGAGTGCTGGTTGTGTAAGTGTGGTTTTGCAGCTTAGAGTCATAGATGGGGTTGGTGGAATATGCCAGCTAGTGCAGACACTTGCTGATAGAAGCTCATGTTTTCATCTCGTGCAGGGACATCCTGATAACAAACTTGGATGCGTCAATGAGCTATGATGAACTTTGTGATGAGGTGCATGAGATGTGTAATTTACAACAGGAACAGCCCATTACCCTCAAGTGGATTGATGATGAAGGTATTGTACTGAAATACTGCT